TAGAGGTCTCCCTGGGGGTAGAGGTCTCCCTGGGGGAAGAGGTCTCCCTGGGGGTAGAGGGGGTAGAGGTCTCCCTGGGGGAAGAGGTCTCCCTCGGGGTAGAGGCCCCCTCAGAAGTCCCCTTGGTCTTAGAATGAATGAGTGTTAGTGGAGGTTCTGCATTTCAACATTTCAGGTGGGCGGGCGGGGGTCAGGTCTGCGTGCAATGGCCATCTGAGCCGCCAGCAAGTCTGGTTCTGTCCAGTGCTCACTGGTGGTCAGACCCTCGGAGCAGGGTGCTGTGGTCAGAAGGTTGGTCTCTGCGCTCAGAATGCTCTGGTGGATGCCTAGTTCACAGCACACCAACCCCTGTGACCGGCCACACATGAGCCAGTGGCTGGGAACATGCTGGGGCACTGGGCACACTGTCAGCCTCAAAGTCCCTGATGCAGGAGGAAGCCAGGCCCTTGGACCTTGGTCTCATCTGCCTGATCAGCATCACTGGGGAGCTTCCAGGCGCTCTGGGAGTGCTGTGGTTAAAGCAAGCTCTAGGCTGGGCCAACCAAAGGTCAGTGGTTCAAACTCACTAGCCACTCCTTGGGAGCAAGATAAGGCCTCTGCTCTCATGAAGACCCCAGCCTCCTTGGGAGCCTTGGGGGCAGTTCTGCTCTGTCCTGTGGGTCACCACGGGCTCATACCGCTCTGTTCACAGACCAGCACCTAGCCCGCTATGTCAGGGGCTTCATTTAGAGAATGGTTCCTCAGAACCCAGTTTTTCAAAGAAAATGGGAAACTGAGACTGCGAGAGGGCCCAAACAGACTCTCTGCCACCCAGACCTCTGCCATCAGAATACTGCCACCCACAGCACTGCCACCAGAACACAGCCCGAGACCTCTGCCACCAGAACACAGCCACCCAGACCTCTGCCATCAGAACACTGATGCCCACAGCACTGCCACCAGAACACAGTCACCCAGACCTCTGCCACCAGAACACAGCCACCCAGACCTCTGCCACCAGAACACTGATGCCCACAGCACTGCCACCAGAACACAGCCCGAGACCTCTGCCACCAGAACACAGCCACCCAGACCACCCAGAATAAAGCTGCCCCTGGGGGTTTCGAGGTTATTAGTCTTTATGGGCAGAAAGCTTCACTTTTGTCCTCTGAACAGCTGGAGGCCTTCCTGTTAGCAACCCATTGACTAACCCCTCACACCACCAGGGCTCCTGGTGGACCTCACCCACCCACCCACTCACTACCATCGAGTTCCCTACAGGACAGGACAGAACTGCCCCTGTGGGCTTCCAAGACTGTACCTCTTCATGGGGGTAGAAAGCCCGTCTTTCTCCTGCAGAGTGGTGGGTGGTTTCGAACCACTTTCAGATTGCAGCCCAGGGCATGACCTCTTCACCACCAGGGCTCCTCCTGGTGGGCCCAGTGGGCCCCCGCCGGTCCTGTGGTCACTCCCTAGTTCTGAATGCACAGTCGAAAGAGGATGTTACAGAGCTGGCAGACTCACGCACCGGGAGGTGGGCTGAGAGAGAGGCGTGGAGAGGCCGGCTCCGGAGCGGCCTCCTGCAGGCAGAGAGGGCTGAATGCCCAGCCCCGGCGGGGTGGAGTGGGGCCGGGCAGGCAGGCTGTCAGGTAGACTCAGGACTCAGGAGGGCTGATCTCTTGGACTGTGCTGCGGAAGGAGGCAGTAGGTTGTTTGCAAGAAGAATGGCGCCATGCTGACTAGTGGTGCATGGTCACCTCCAGGAAGGCCCTCCTGTCAGCAACCCAGCCCCGGGCAGCCCCTTGCACAGACTGTCCACAGCCTGGCCGCAGGAAACTTCCACCACGTTCCCGTGTTCCCAGCGACTGAAAGCTGAAAGCCAGGTGGAGAATTGCCAGGGTGGAGGTCGGCCCCGGCTAGAGCTTGGTGTTTCCTTTTCCAGCTCGGCCTTACGCTCTGGGGGGAGAAGGGGGCTGCCGGCAGGGCAGACGGGGCTCCACCGCACATCCCCCAAGGGACGATGCAGCGTCCAGGCCCAGTGTCCAGGAGATGGTGCCCAGTCTGAAGAGGTTGGCGTTTGATTTATTGAAGGACACTATCTTGCCATTTGTGATATCCGGAAGCAGGAGAGAGAGAAAATGAAGGGCCCCGCTGGGCCGGTGGGGAGGGGAGGGCTCACTACTGGCTGAGGGGGAGGAGGCCTCCCCCAGTCTGATGCAGAAAGAGCTCGGACGGCCCATCGGGGAGCCCCAAGAACCTGTTCCGCGGCAGTCTAAAGGGTTTCACAGAAATGGAGAGACGTTGGGGTGCAGGAGGGGGGCACATGGGACAGAACAGACTCGACACCATGTCCCACACACTGGACACCCCCTTTCCAGTCCCCTCTGCCTAGGGCTCTCTAAGTGAGGATCTGAAGCCCCCTGTCCCAGCACAGTGGCATCTCAGGTGGACCATGGGCCCGGGGGTGTTAGGATGAGGGGCATCGTTGCTGTGTTGCATGGGGGCCTCAGAGCAAATGAGAATGCCAGGGCCCGGTGCCAACCCTAGCTCAGCCCGCATGTCGGGAAGAACTATGCTTTGGGGTGAGTTTCTGCAAGCAGGCAGCCAGGCCTATCATCTGAGAGACCTGGAGCTCACTGGTCTGTGTCCCCCAGGGACTCAGGACAGGGGGTGGGGGTGGCCTGTGTGTCCCAGACTCAGAATCGGGGGTGCAGACCGCAGGGGGAGGGGGATGCCTGTGTGTCCCAGACTCAGGACGGGGAGGGGCTGCCTGTGTGTCCCCCATGCACTCAGGACAGTGGGGTCTGTTGTCTGGTGCTTAGAGTCCATCTGCACTCGAGACAGTCTCCTTGTGTGATGGGGAGATGGGTCTCTGTGGAGTTTTCTGGGCTGTGTCTTTACTGAAGGGATCGCCAGGCCTTTCTTCTGAGATACCTCTGTGTAGACGCCATCTTTTTGGTCACCCAGTTTGTTGGGCTGCTGCTGGGGGCGGGGCAGGCAGGCTCTAGGCCTCTCTGGCTGACTTCCAGGAGGGGCCTGCCTTTGGTCCCTGCCCCACCCCGGCCTCAGCCCCGCTAAGATGCAGCTCAGCAGGCTAGGCACTGATACAGCCCATCAGCTGCTCTGAGCGAGAGAGGCCTGGGGGCTGGCAACCAGGAGCCCACGGGGCCTCTGAAACACAGAGAAACATACAAGTTCATACATGTACCTAAACCACTGCTCTCAAGTCGACCCGACTCACAGTGACCCTGTGGGACAGGAGAACTGCCTGTGGGTTTCTGAGACTGTAACTCTGTCACCCAGCACAGTAAATTGAAAAACAAAAACAAAACATGAGCGGCAAAACTGCAAAACACTGACATTAGCAGCAGAGGGTCTGACTGAGAGTCAGCAGGTGGGGGTGTTGGGAGAAGCCAGTCTGGGGTCATGGACCACAGTGTTCCCTTGTGCTAGGGGCAGCTCTGATGTGAATAAGCTCCCACCTCCACCTGGGACCTGAGAACCCCTGGGCCACAGTGTCTCTGTAATCCCAGCAGGAATTTCCCAAGCAAATAGATTGACTGCCGGGTGACTGCCACCATCGCCTCGTGAGCGAGCATTTAGTTTGGAATGCTGAGCGACTGTAAAAGTCATCACCAGCTCTGATAGCCTTGGCAGTGGCCGGTGCTCAGTCCCTCCAAGTTACGCCGAGATCCTTTCTGCTAAGAAGCTGCGAGAAGGAGCTGCCCCAGCGAAATGCTTGCATTAGAGCCAAAGACGGCGTTGGCATTCCGTTCCTGGTGAGGCTGTGGCCAGACTAATGACAGGACAGATTGGATCTTGGTACAAATAAAAGGGTGATCACTGTTTAATGTGCCTGTTATTCTTGGACAATTGATGGGCATTTGATGCTGACTTCCCAGTCAGTGGAGCAGAAATGCTGCTTTTAAATTATGATAGAGACCAATTTGGAGCTGTTGTTTTTATTAGGAGAGATTTTGATTCTTGAAAGAGAGGTGTGGGGTGTTGGGGGGAGTTCAGCTGGTATCTGGGCTGCCTGGCTGGCTGGGAGCCACGTGGCGCCTCTGCTAGTGACAGTGGAAGGGTTCCAGCCTCAGAAACCCTGTCTGCGCTGCTCTGCTCAGAAGGTGGGCTGAGCTCAGAAGGCCTTGGAAGAAGCTAAGCCTGACGTACAAGTGAGTCAGTCGCTTATCAAAGTGTAGATGTTCCTGATTTGTCACAGTACAGGCCACGTCTGTGTCTCACTAGAGACAAGCTTCCTGTTGTTCTTTCTCTTACCCACAAATGAGTGAGTGAATGAATGAATGAATGAATGTGATGACTCTGTAGGTGAGTGAGTGCTGAGTGAGTATGTGGATGGAGGAGTGAGTAGATGAGTGGGTGAGTGAGTAGCTGAATCAATGAGATTATGAGTGAGTGAGTGAGTGAGTGAGTGAGTGAGTGAGTGAGTGAGTTGGTGACTATGTGGATGGATGGGTGAGTGGATGAATGAATGAGTGACTGAGTGGGTGAGTAAGGATGGATGAGTGAGTGAATGAACATGTGGATGGATGAGTAAGGAAGCATGCGGATAAATGAATAAGAGTGAGTGCATGGATGGATGAGTAAGTGCATGGATGTGTGGATGAGTGAGGGCATGGATGTGTGGATGAGTGAGGGCATGGATGGGTGAGTGGATGGATAAGTGAATAATGTGTGAATGAGAGAGTACATGAGTAAGTGAATGGATGTGTGGCTGAGTGAGGGCATGGATGGGTGAGTGGATGAATAAGTGCATGGATGTGTGGGTGAGAGAGGGCATGGATGTGTGGGTGAGTGAGGGCATGGATGGTGAGTGGATGGATAAGTGAATGGATGTGTGGATGAGAGAGTACATGAGTAAGTGAATGAGTGAGGGCCATGGGCGATGACACTGCCACTCCCACTCTGTCCCTCCCCCTCCCCTGCTCACTGCCCTCTGAGAGGCCTTGGTACAGGGTGGGGACATGCTGACTGGTGTCCTGAGGAGTCCAGGGGACCTGGTGATGCTGCAGGGCAGTGGCTGACCACCACGATAACACCATTGTCCCAGTCACGTCACAGGGATTGAGTGTCCCCAGAGCACTTAGGAGTTGTGTCGACACTATGAAGGGGGTCCTGGTGGCCCAGTGGTTCAGGCCAGCGCGGAGCCCACTGGCTGCCTGAGGGAAGACGGGCCTGCGGGGCAGGTCTGCTCCGTCCTGTCGGTCACTGAGTGGGAACCGACCCCATAGTGGGTGGCTTTGGTCTGGTTGTCTGCTATGTGGGACGGGAAAGCAGAGGTGTGTGATGACCAACATGGACGCAGGCACCATGCGGGCATGCAGTGTGAGCCCTCGCAGGCTTGCTGGGTATGAGGTGTGCCTGTGGCATCATTGGAGAAGTGGCCACAGGCACCCCAGGCCAGCCACAGCCAGCTGGAAAGCTGCTCAGGCTGTGCACCCCAAAGCTCCTGGATGTGGTCCTTAGGGAGTCGGAGGGGGTGAGACTCCATGGAGCTGGCAGGGCATAGCCTCTGCAGCTGCCCCTTGCAGGCCCGGCTGTAGACACAGGCTCAGGACAAGGCAGTGCAGGGTGACCAGTGTCTGGGGGGTCACAGGAGCCAAGCAGCCTGTTGATGCGTCCTCCTGGCACATGATGAGGCGCCGCATTTGCACTCTGGCCCCTGTGTGTGGCACCCAGGCTCCGCGGAGGGAGGCAAAGAGACTCCCGAGGTGGCCCTCTGTGTCCCAGTGGATGGACAGATGTCCCCCCAAGTCGGCATAGGAACCCACTGGGGGTGAGAGAGTCAGGCATGAAGCACTGCCTGCTATCTCTCCCCCAGAGGACCCTGCCCTGGCTGTCTGTCCTGAGTCCCCAGCCCTGTCTCTGTCCCCCAGGACTCCCGCCATGATCGGCTGCTCCTTCGTGGTGGACCGGGAGTATTTTGAGGACATTGGCCTGCTGGACCCCGGCATGGAGGTGTACGGCGGAGAGAACATTGAGCTGGGCATGCGGGTGAGTCGCCGTCAGGCAGTGAGGGCTGTGCGTGGCTGGGTGGCGCGGAGCTCCGAGGAGGATGAATCTGAGCTGGCTTCTGGGTGTCTGGGAGCTCTCAGCAAGTCCCAGAACTGAGCGCCCTGTGGGCCGTTTCCACAGCAGGGCAGCCACACGGGGACAATTCCTGTCTGCCTGTTGTTGGCTTCAGGGCCGGACCACGGTCCACAGGAAGGTCTGGGGCACCGTAGGTTCAGTACCAGGCAGCCATGGTCAAGCAAACATCGAGGTGAAGTACTGGCCCACGGTGTCAGTCACAACATGCGAGGCAGTGTGATGTGGAGGAGGGGAGGTGTCATCTGGGGGGGGCAGCATGATGCAGAGGGGATAATGTTGGCTGTGCAGCCTGGGGGAGGGTGTGAAGCAGAGGTGGAGGTGCCCGCTGTGGCTGGGGTGGGGTGGGGGCTGGGCAGCGTGATGCAGAGGTGTGAGGTAACAGAAGGGGACACAGAGGCACACAGCGGGCTCTCAGTGCCGAAGGACTGACTGGCCTTGGGCCTTCAATGGGTGAGAAGCTCCCTAAATTGAGATCCTCCTGCAGCCCTGCTCTCAGACGGGGCCTGACACACGTAGGTCATGTTTGGGATGAAGCTTTGGGTGGCTTTGACTTGCAGGCACCATGCTCACCCTCGCCATCCCTGGGGTCCTGGGCCTCACCCCTAAACCCTGAGCCCTGCCTATAGGACAGGCTGGGACTTGCCAAGGCCCAGAGCTGCCCACCCAGCTCAGCTGAGGAGGCTGACTGTGTGCTGCCCTCCAGGCTGTGAGGCATCCGTGGGCAAGACTCACAGTAGGCCTGACGCTGGCTTGGGACCCAGTACACCCACAGGAGTAGGGGACAGGCCCAAACAGGAACTGGGGTCAGAGCGTGAGCAAGGTTCATGGGGGCGCAGCCCACATGACAGCACCCCAGACAGGCAGGCCGAGTGCTGCCCTCATTCTGGCCGGGCCAGAGATGTGGTGTGGCCAGTCCTGGGGATCTGGGGCCCGCCCTGGGGTCTGTGGCCAGCTCTGAAGTGCATGATTAGCTCTGGGGTCTGTGAGCACCTCTGGAATATATGACCTGACCTGCGGTCCACGGCCAGCTCCCTGGATCTGTGGCCCGCCTGAGGTACGTTGCAGTCGGTTTCAGGAGTCTGTGATTAGCCCCAGGGCCTGCAACCACGTGCCTCCAGACCCCGCCGGTGTGCTCGCCGACCCCAACCCCGCCCCAGGAGCAGCGGGCAGGGGATACTAGGAACGTCTAGTATACAGTTCAGGCCCTCCACCCCCCCCATCAGCCTGAGCCTGCTCATCGATGCCCATGCCCCACCCACCGAGGCTTTGCCCTCCAGGGTCCAGAAGGCAATGGACTCTGGTATGCAGCCAGGGCCTAGTGGGTGTGCAACACGGTCCCCTCCCCCAGGGGTCCCCTCCAGAGCTCCTGCCACCTCTGAGCCTCTGGGAGTCGGAATCGGCTTGACGGCTGCAGCAGTGGAGTCTGGTGTTGGTGGGGAGCGCATTTCTGCCCTGATACCCAGGGCTGGTGCTGGCCACCTGGGCTCCAGCCCCACTAGTTGCTGGTTGCATTTTAGGGCTTTTTTGTTTGTTTTGAAGACTTTCCTCAAGCACTTGAAAGTTTATAGAAAAGACAGCTGCACCCCAGGCACTGGGCCACGGTCCCCTGCTCCTCTTGTGTCACGTTTGTTGCCGTTGATAAACCAAGATCAGTCTAGGCTACCTCCTTGTCATCCAGCTTTATCACCGGTCTTTGCAACACCACTGAGTGTGTGTGTGTGTGTGTGTGTGTGTGTGTGTGTGTGTGTGGTTGGTCACGGAGTTCAGTAAACATCTGTTGATGGATGAGTTAGTGAAATGTAATTGGAGAGAAATCCAGAGGGTTTGGGAGGCTTGGGAGGGTTTTAGTTCATTTTCTTTTCTTTTTTAACCTGTGGAGCATCTGTTCACAGAAAAGATGATTTAAAGCAAGGCTTTTTAAAAATTTATATACAGTTTATTAAAGTTGCACATCTCAAAATCTATTTCCTCTAGAGCCTCTGACATCTCCTTATTACGGTTATAAATTGAATAAAAGAAGACGTCGTCTTCCCTTTCTCTTTGATGAATGTGTGATTAACTCAGGTGGAGCAGTTTAAACGCCATTAAACAACTGGTTGCATTTGCACCTTTAGTTAATTAAATTCCCCTGAACCTGTTTAAATGTTACTTACACATGTACCATATTTTCTTTTCTTTTTAAGCACTTTGAATGCCTGATGATCGTGGCTGAAATCCCCACAAGTGCTTTAAAAAGTCTAGCACAACTAATAACGTTAATGCATAACGAAGCGCAAACTGTGAAGCATTTTTTGCAAATGTATGAAATTCTCTAACACTGTCCATTTTAAAATCGTAAATGTAGAGTATCAGTCTTTAAATGGGACCAGGAGGCTAGCTGGGCAGATGTTTTAATATGCTGAGGTCCTCTAAACTTTTTGATCACTAAAAACACAAACATTTCGCATCATCTCCAAAGGGAACATTTTGGTGACGAAAGGGATGCATATCACCCACCCCGGGTTCAGCTTTTCAGGTGTTGTGGAAGCTGTTGTCCCAGTTGTAGAGCGCGCTGCTGCCTCCTGGTAGTGGTGGTGGCTGTGAAGTGCCGTTGGGCCAGTTCCGACTCATGGTGACCCTGTGTATTGACAACAGAGCCAAACCCTGCCCGGGGACTGATCTGCCCCAAAAGGAAGTCTCACAAGTCTTGCCTCGAAGGAGCATGCTGTCTGTACTTCTTCCAAGACAGGTTTGTTTGTTCCTTTGACTGTCCACGGTACGTTCAGTGTTCTTTGCCGGCACCATCACTCAAACGCGTCCATTCTTTTTCGGTCTTCCTTACTCAGTGAGCAGCTTCCACATGCATAGGAGGGGACTGCAAAAACCCAGGCTTGGGTCAGGCCCTGGCCCTCAAAGTCATGACCTTGCTTTCCAACACTCCGAAGAGCTCCCGTGCAGCAGACTGACCCAGTGGCACGCGCTGTTTGATCCCTGGACTGCTGCTTCCGTGAGCATTGCTTGTGGATCCCATCCAGAGGAAGTCCTCGGCAGCGTCCCTCCTTTCCCCGTTTATCCCGTGTTGCCTCTTGGTCCAGCTGTGAGGCTTTGATCTTCTTCACGTGGAGTTGTCATCCATGCGGGAGGCTGCGCTCCTTGATCTTCATCTTCAATGCTTCAAATCCTCCTACTTTCAACACTCAGAAAGTGTGCCATCTGCATACCGTGGGTTAATAAGCCTTCTTCTCATCCTAACGCCACTGTCTTCTTCACGTAAGCTGGATTCTCTGATGATTTGCTCAGTCTACAGATGGGATAAGTGTGGGGGGAGGATACAGTCCTGACACACACCTTTCCTGATTTTAAACCACAACTGCCTCTTGATCCACGATCGAATGCCTTGGCACAGCCAATAAAACACACGTAAACATTTTCTGCCTTTCTCTGCTTTCCGCCAAGATCCATCTACATCAGCAAAGATATCTCTTACTCCATGTCCTCTTCTAAATCTGGCCTGGACCTTTGACAGCTTCCTGTCAATGTGCTGCTTGCAGGTGCCGTTGGATGATCTTCAGCAAAATTTTGCTTGCATGTGGTAGCAATGATATTGCTTTATAATTTGAACATTCTGTTGAGTTTGAAATGGGCATTCTTTCTTTGAAATGGGCACAAAGATGGATCTCTTCCAGTCAGTTGGCCAAGTAGCTGTCTTCCAAATTTCCTGGCATGGAAGAGTGAGTGCTTCCGGTGCTTCATCAGCATGTTGAAACATTTCCATCGGTGTGCCACCAATTCCTGACGTCTTCTTTTGGGCTAATGCTTCAGTATGGTTTGACTCCTTTCTTCAGCACCGTTAGTTCCTGATCATATGCCGTCTCCTGAAATAGTGAATGCCAACTAGTTCTGTTTGGTGCAATGACTCTGCATTCTTTCCATCTTCTTTTGATACTTCCTGCATCGTTCATTGTTTTGTCCACAGAATCTTTCAACACTGCACCTTGAGGCTTGAGTTTTCTCTCGAGTTCTTTCCGTTTCAGATGTGCCGAGTGTGTTCATCTTTCTGGTTTTCTAACTCTAGGTCTTTGCACATTTCATTACAATATTTTACTTGATCTTCTTGAGCTGCCTTTTAACACTTTTGAAATGGGCACAAAGATGGATGAAATGGGCACAAAGAAATGACGCCAACACTTTGACGCCATCGTTTCTTCCATAAGCCTTAGCTACTCTTAGATTAAGATCAGGTTTCAGAGTCTCTTCTCACATCCACTCTGATCCTTTCTTTTCTGTCTTTCCCCCCCAAAAGCTCCCTCCCACTTCCTGTCTTTTTAATGACCTTTTGCTTTCTTCGTGTATGATGTTCTGATACAGGCCACCGGGTCTTCTGCCGGGAGCGTTCAATGTGTCAGAGCTGTTCTTGAGGTTCAGGTGGGAGAGCCTCCGGGTCATATTTTGGCTCTGGTGGACTGGTTTCAATTTTCTTCAACTTTACCGTGAACGTCCAAAAGAGCGGTTGGTGTCTGTTGCAGTTGAGGTCTGTGCTCTGGCCTGGTTTTAGCTGCCGATCTTGAGCTTCTCCGTTGTGTCTTCCCGCAGATGAAGTCAGTTTGAGTTCCGTGAATCCCCCCTTGGTAAGTCCACGTGCACACTCACTGTTGGTGTTGTTGGGGAAAAGGTGTTTGCTACAAACAACTCTTCGGTCTTGCAAAATTCTATCAGGGACTCTCCGGCTTTGCTTCTGTCGCCAAGTCCATATTTTTAATCTACTCTCCCTTCCCTTTGTGTCTAACTTTCACACTCCATCGCCAATAATTATCAGTGCATGTTGATTGCATGTCTGATCAATCTCAGGCTGAGGGGATTAGTAGAATTCTTCAGTGTCTTCATCACTAGCTTTTGTGGTTGGTGCTCAAATCTGAATGACAGTT